GCCATTTCAGTTCGACAAGTGTTCGACAAGTGACTGCTAAGAACTGGAAGTAGACAAAAGTCTTGAGAAGGGTTTTAATCCCTTTTTATTCAACTTTAGAAATTACAAATGCGTGCTCTTGACGCTCACAAACTACGCCGACCCGGCGGGAAAATAAAAATAAGAAACTAAAAAGAGATAATAACAAGAGACTAACTACGAGGCTCTCTAAACGTAACTAACCTCACCGCGTTCTAAATTACCGCTGATAATTCAGCAAACTCTGAAGATTACGTTGAAAGATTAACAAATTGCCGAGGCAAGCACACAGGCCGAAATGCGTGGTTCCTCAATTTCTGACCAACTACCTCCGCGCTCGTGAAGTAAGAAAAGCGCACTTTGAACTCGTTTCCTTTCTATTTAACTCAGAATACTTACGCTGATAATTTGAATCCTTGCGCGTTCTACTAAAAATTTACATACTCTGGCATTGGCAGTTGCAGGGAAAAGTAAGGCTTGACAGGAAAGATAGATTAAACTTAAAATAAATGTTAGTTAAAATAAATATAAACCCTACAGTGTATTGAAAAATTTAAGCTACTAGCTTCAAATGTCCAAAATTCCGGAAATATTTAGTTTCCGGTGTCTTCTTCTAGTGAATATTGGCAGCCACAAATGTTGTCAATAATAATCGGTGATGTTATATTGATTCGTGCCAATTTTTCAAAGAGAAATTTTCCGAGTAAAATTTTTAAAGTAATCCATGTTCAAAATATAAAAATTAAGTTCCTCTTACGCTTTATTTATATACATCAACACTGCTTAAACTGTCCTTTATCCAGGAGGAATAAATAAACTTTCCAAATAAAGTTATATCAATTTACATAAAAGTTTAGGTAAATTGAATATAACGAGCACTGTTTGCTTTAAAACCTATGTCTTTATGGAAGACTTTCTAAGGCATATTGGGTCATATTTACTTTATGCATGCAAAATATATCAGTTAGCATAAAAACTGTCCATCCTGTATATTAAGTGTTTTTGTAAAAAAACTGATAACTCTGTGATGTGATATCTGCATTCAGTTTTCGTGTAAAATAACTCACTGTCTTCCATATTTTAAGTTTGATTTCACGAAAAATTCTCTCAATTAATGTGCTGATTTAAATGAACAAAATTTTAATATTGTTGCTTGCGTACGGGTTCTAATAGATTTAGATAGTACTCAGAACTGACGCTGATTTAACAGCTAACAACAAGAACTGAGAGCAGATGCTCTCTCCGGCCTTATAGAGTATTCACCTTGCCGCCAAGATATTTCTAGTACTTTCTGCTTCTCAAATTTACTGGAGGACAACACGCAAATCGAATTACGGTTATAGTTAATCTAGCGATCAAATACATTTATTCAATTAGAGTAGCTACTGCAGTGACACAAGGGTCGCACCAAATATCGCCAAATGATCGGCCCGTTTGGGGACTTTTGGAGATTTTTTCTCATATTTGGCAACAAAAATTAATGTAGCCGGTAGTCTCGTGCGATAGGTCAATAAAAACAGAGGTAACTTCTTAACCCAGTCCTGTTGGTTTCCGGAAACCACCAATGACAGATTATTAAGGATAGTTCGATTAAACCTCCCTACCATGCCGTCTGACTGGAGATGTAAAGGTATCGTTTGGGTTTGTTAATACCAAGTAGCTTGCAGAGTTCTTAAATTACAGCCCAGCTAAAATTTCTTCCTTGATCGGAATGTAACTGTGGAGGCACCACGAACCTGGAAATCCAATGCTTTATTACCTCTGCTATGTGATAGCCTCTTGATCAAGAATAGGATACGCTTCAGACCACTTAGTGAAGTTATTGATGACAACCAGAATGCATTTGTTTCCATCAGCATTTCATGGCAGAAGTCCCAGGATGTCAAAGGCGTTGGGTTCCAAAGGCTCTCCTACATTGTAACATTCCTGTTCTCCTCGCTTGCGTTCCTTCTTCGATCCTTTCCAACACTCGCAGGGATCGCAAGATTGGCACCATTTTTCACGTTATCCCTTGCATTATTCCAGGAGAAGCGCTCTCGAACTCTGTGTATTATCTTCATTATTTCGAAGTGGTCTCCTATTGGACTGCTGTGTAATTCTTTGAGGACACCCGGGGTTCGGGAATCTTGGAATTATCAATTGCCATCGGAAAGCCTTTCCATCATCCAATTTGATCTTCCGGTACAAGTTACTTTAACCTGTCAATTTCCTTCGCGACTGCATCAGAAACTCTTTAATGAATTTGTTGTTCGGCAGCAGAAACTCTTTCTTCAACTTTTCCAATTTTGTTTCAACTGTATCTATTCTGCCTTCCGTAGCCTCAAATTTGTTTCTATTATGGTAGCAATTTCTCGTTTGATTTCCTCTTGACCTGCTTCAGTACCTTCTTGAACTGATTTGACTTCCCCTTCCATTATGTGGCAAACTTTAGCTTGCTAAAAAAAAGAGCTTCGTTTTCTAAAAAATATTTCTATCGGTCTTTTAGTATTTAAAATAATAATTATTCTTCCGTAAGTGTAGCTTGAAGGGAGAGATAAACAACTTCACCTCTTATATATAAACTACGCGCTCTTTTAACTTTCTCCCATCAGGGCCTATAACAGAATAGCAATCCCTACATCGAATATGGTGAGACATAATTATTGAATGAGAAGTGTTCGGACCGTTTATGCATGCGCCAAGCTTGGAGATAAGCGATTCAAAATCCGCGTATATGTCAAAGGATACTGTTACGAATTTCGTATCTATCTGAATAAATAATTTTAGTAGAATTATAATTAAAATCATTGTATTTCTTCGTGCAATGCAGCGCGAGACAAATTTTAAGGGAAAGCTAACTGGAAAATATAAAAATACAGGAGCACGTGCATTTAACATTGAATAAATGGATATTTCAGTAATTTGTATTTAAATTGAATAAATGTTATTGACTACTGTGTTAGCTGTAATCGTAATTCCATCCCCTTATTGCTTTCCACAAATATCGAGAAGCAGAAATTACTAGAAATTTCTCACGAATGATTGAAAGCTATAGGTCAGAGAGAGAAAATCTTAGTTCAGTTGTTTAGATAGTTGCTTAGTTATTGTTGTTGGAGTTTGTTCAGCGTAAACTGAGATAAATCGGATTAGCTTTTTTTTTTTTTTTTTTAAATGTGCCGTGCATTACGTTCTATTTAACAGTTTTAGTAGTTTGAACTATAACTACTGATTATTACTGCGTGATATTGTGAACATTTGTACGAATATCTCCGAGGAAAATTCCAGCGTTCTGTTATATTTCTATTGATCAGAATAAATTTTGCTAACCTATTAGAAGATTTGTGCATTCAATCCATTACGAAACCGCACTCACGCAACAATCCTTTCAGGTTTAATTCATATTAGCAACATTTTTCTTCTTCTGAAGGCCATGAATCTGACAGTTTTGCACAATACATGAAAAATCAGTTTGCGTCGAAAACGGATGCAAACCATACGGACAGTAAAATGCAATGCCATTTTGTTTTGGCAGAGATCTTAGAAGCCTATTTTATTATTTATGAAGCAATAATAACTTTTTTCATTCTCATTCAAAAACAGAAGATTCACGTGAAATCTGTTCACTTTCTTTTTAATATGGAATGGAAACACCTCTTTTTTCTTTCAAATTAAAAAAAAATAAAAGAATGAACGATATTTCTGTTAATGTTTTCTGTTTTAGTGAGTTTTAATTTAGTTATTTAGTTTTAATTTAGTGATGATTACGAGTATGATATTTAGTGATGATTTTGCAGCATAAACATGAAGAAAAGAGCACTTAAGTTAGATCGACCTATAGATATCGGATGCTCCGTATTAGATGTTAGTTAAATCCTTATTCACGACTTTAATTATGATTTCATATTATGATTTCGCATTACGATTTCATACTAAATTATTGTTTACTGACATATTCGTTATGCTATGAAATTAAAACAGATGACATATATGAAGAAGTGTTAAAAATTAAGATTATTTTGATTTATTTAATTTCTCTAGAAAACACTTTGCATATTCAAATAAAAAAAAAATAAAAAAAAAAAAAAAAAAAAACTAGGAAAAGTGTAAGATGAATTCTCAGAGACTCTCGCTACAGAATTTGTAGAATTAAAAGCAAAGACTTATGGTCTCATAACTGACAGAGAAGAGAAAAAACTGCTAAATTTATATCTAGATATATTGCGAAAAAGCATGCTTTCGCACATTGATTATAAGCACTGTTTGCTTGAGTTTGTTTAGTATTAGTTTGTTTAGTATTGTTTGTTGAGTATTGACAATGAAGAAAATTCCCTCGAAACTTCAATAAATTAATTCTATTGAAATTAGGTAAGTCGGCTTCGGTGCATTTGAGGATAGACTATATATACTCTTAAATTGTTTTCATACTTTAGCTCATGATCATTTCTAAAATCAAAGAAGTTGGTTTTTAAGTTTTATAATTTTTATAAGAAGTAACAATTTAGCTGCAAGAAAAAAATTGTTACTCCTTTTAGAAACATCCTTTATGTATGTTCGTAAATTTATTTTAAATATACGCATGACTGTATGTAGATATAAATAGTCAAATAGGCAGGTGTATTATGCATATCATCGACATCTTACTGAAAACAAAAATCCGCTTTTCCCACCTAAATACATTTTCAGGTTTTTTCCTTGTGTTTGATGCATTGTGTTATTTTAATGCTTATTTAAATTATTTTCTAAAATTTTATACTCTACTAGCAAGGAGAGAAGCAGTTTAATAAAAGTTTATTATTTTGAAATCAAATTCTATTTTTACCATAGCAACTAGATCGTTAAAGGAATTTGTTTGAAGTGCAAAGATGTTTAAGATTAGGAATTTGTAAGGTGCCGATAATATGCTTTGATAATCGAAAAATATGCTGTCGTCAAAAACCAGGAACATTTGCGTTGTCATGTCAGAAAATATATGATTCCAATATTTTTTAACATTCAACAAACCAAGTGGCTGGCATTGAGAATAAACTGGGACCCAAAATGAGAGTGCAGTATTCATTGTATGTTGGAGATGAAAAGGATATCATCTACACCTTGTCACTTAGAATTCCTGCAAACATCACAGCATATGAGATAATGGAAATTGCGGAAGCTGCTGACGATAAGTATAAGTGAGAATTTATTTTAACACTTCTATCTAACACTGCTAATATTAAGCAGTTAAATATAAATGTTCAATGTTATTTTAAGAAATAGATTCTGAATGTTTTATGCAGCAAAACATAACTAACAGTCGGTGGTGTGGCTATAGCGGACGTGGTTAGAGCGAACACATACGATTTCGTGGTGTAGTAGTCTGCATGCTATGCGCGTATTCCATAGGTCCGTGGTTTGTTTCCCGGCGAAGGCGTTGCTCTTTTTTTCATGATTCCTGCTTCCCCAAAAATACCTAATGTCTGTACAAGGCATGTGGAAAGGAGAGGGAAAATACCTTATATAGTTACTAGATGGAAAGAAAGATATGACAGGAGAATTCTTAAAATGTTTTTAAACGAGAGAGTGATTTTTCGATGCGTTGAGACGATAGTTCTGGAACCACTTGGTCAATAATGTTAGATGAAAAGCCTCTGTCGGTAACACCTGCTTTAAGTTAGCTCTTTGTCAAGAGTTTTAACACCTCCAACACTCGTTATTCGACAAGTTAAGCTAACTGAGAAGTGGAAATAATGCTTCGAAATAGATAACTCGCATTAGAATTATATAATACATCTCATTAGCTTTATAACCTGATGTATCCCAACATACATCTCGCACTTTCCAAAACACTATTCGAATTATAATCGAATATGAATTTTAATACGCCTTTTACTGATGAAATCTGTATCCTTTATTGTCATCTAACATTATTAGTTTAAAAATTTAATGGAATACCAAAGCAATAAACGTTAAAAAGGTATAAATCTGTTTACATATAATTTAACTCTTAACAAATAATACAAGCTTGCTTCATAAAATTGTTACTGATTTTAATGAATTTAAACTTGCTAAGTAGATTATAAATAATATTTTAAAGGTAATTATAATATAAATTGCTCGCTCGCCTTTTTAAACTTAGAACTAAAATCAAATATTATATGCTATATATGCTAAGCAAAATTAATGTGGGACAGATACATACTATCTATGAGTATGCTGTCTGTAAACATAACATCAGAAATGGCTGTCAAAGGGGCTAATAAACTACTAGTTCGGTTTATAAATAACTTGAATATTTAATGAAAACAAGAATAGTAACTATAATCTATGAAATGATTACATTCGTAGAAGGATATTATTTACAGGTGTAGAGAAGTTGCCGTCTTTTATATACAAGCGTCTTTCATCTTAATAGTGAATCGTCTGAATTCTATCACCAGCAAGAAAAGAGTTCTTTCACACAGCTTCCAGAACCAACAATATTATTTAAAACAGTATTTTAAGTGGCAAATCTCTTTCGAGTGGGACAACTTTATTTTTACCCAAGTTTTCTGTTGTTGCACTCGATTATATAATAATAATAAATAAATTTTTGCCAATCAAATTGAATTATTTATATTTAAATTGCTATGATATTATAGTGCGAATGCATTTTAAACATAGCGAAATGTAATAAAGATAAGAACTTTTAGATTATTAAGTATTTAAAAATTAATAGTCAGCATAATGAAGGATATGAACAAATTTTAGGGATTTTGTGGAAAACTGTATTTTAGAGTCAAATAAATATTAGAACAGGTGCAGTTGTCCTAAAATTAATTAGTTTCATTAATGTAAATAAAAGAATATAAATAAAAGATATAAATAAAAGAAAAATAAATACAAGTAAATAAATATTAACTAACCTTTATTATAAAGGCATAAATTTATTTGACAAACTAGTTCCAAAACTTAAAGATTTTAGACATTTTTCTAAATCGTTTGATGTTTCGAATTCTTTTAGGATGTTTTCAATTCTATCATCCAATTTTACATATGCTTTTTTGCTTTTTATTTCAGGGTTGCCTAATTCTCTGGTTTTCAAATTAAAAGACAATTTTTGTGTTTCATCTTTCAGTATTTTAACTAATAAGTGAATTGTTGGCTGGTTTCTGACAGTGGTTGCATTTAATTTGGAATTCCAACCTTCAGCAGAATTATTCGTCCTATGACGTTGTCATAGGACGAATACTTTAATGGGCTTATTTTGGATTGTCCATCCACTGTTTAACAAAATAATCAATGGATGTGGTACGTTTGTAAATGCTAAAAGAATTTCCCCATAAAATGCTCTAAGCATCATCTATGTATTCTATTGGCAAGTAAGCTAGTGCAGAAATCAATCTGCAGACATTTCTTATATCTTTGTTCTCTTTATGTTCCTTTACTAGACCCATTTCTTGTACCTTACGCCACAAACATTGATTAAAATTAAAGTTACAACCGGAAATAGTCGAACTGGGAAATTCTAACATACAGCTATTGATGGCTGCGGCTTCAGAATCCAATTTTATAATGTCCGGCTTCCGCTTAGGGCACCAACGTTTCACTTCCTGAAACATAACAATGTAAATTGCTTGTCTCTTATCAGGCAGAAATGCAAAAAGGGCTGGATTAATGTTGGTATCAGTTGCTGAACTCCTTAAGTCGACGTGTGTTGTATATATTTGAGCAAATTGTTTCGGACAATTTTTAAATTTTCCATCTAAGAAAAAAAGTTTCCATTTTCCAAAAGGTGCCAAGATTTTTCTCCTCCAAATACTAAAATCCTGTTATCTCGGTAATTTTTAAAGTCTAAAACGAAGAAAGTTTTTTCCTCCATTAAAAAGCATAAGTGTATCGTTTGCAGACTGACTGTCGTTGGCATTTTGGGGATTTGGGATAGCTCCCAAAGCCTTTCTCCTCTCTTTACATAAAACAGTCTTGGCACTGGAGTGTATCGGTGTTTTAGTAACGAAATCATAATCTTCATGGGCTAATCTTTGGAATATGGTAACAGGTAGTTTGGCGACATTTTGGTAAGGCGATAAAGGTTACTAGCTAGGTCTTTAGCAGTGTACATGGATAGAGTCAAGAGTGTGCGCAATGCCATTTTTGTGCAATTCTGGGATGTTTTTTTAAGTGAAAATAGGTCGACGTGTACATGGATACCATGTATGTGGAATTCTTAAAAACGCGGCAAGCAGTTTGCGATTCTGCACTTTCTCCTAATTTCGCACCTAATCTTCGTCATGATTAAGCACTTTTGTTCCATAAAAGTTCTAGCATAAGCATAATTCAGCTTGCAGATTGTTGGAAAAAAATGTTGAGGGAAAAAAAAAAAAAAAGCCTTTACTTTGTGAAAACAAAATGGAGTCCAAACAAAAAATAGGAGGTTGCTGTAGCAAGGTTGGTCGCCAAATTTTCGCCAAAAAATCGCCAAGTTACCATAATCCAAAGATTAACCCCTTTCTGATATAATTCTGAAACGATGTGTCTTTTCTTTTATACATACCCAACTCATTCCTAATTTATTTTTTCTTTGTAAACGGTTGGGTAATCATCTACAACTAAACATTCTTTCCCTTTTTTTGTAGAGACTAATTTTGTTGAAATGGCTATGGGTTCCATCACAGATTTTTTTCGACTCTATAAAACGATATGCATACTTCATAAGGATCAAACATCTACTGAGAAATTGAGAAAAACCTTTTCTCTTAAAAGTATCGGCTTATCTCTACAGCAGCTGCAAAGCTCAAAACAACACAATAGATGCAGGATGTCCGCTCTGCCCCCCCCCAGCTACCCTTACGTGTCCGATGTAGCGATGTCCGCTCTGACCACGTAACCAAACAGTCAATACTATATGATAAACAGACGATAATTTTAATAACCGAATCAAACAAATTAATTGCTTCAAATTTAACTCGTACGATGTTTACACGGTGTGGATTTTGATGCTTACTGCTCCATAATACCTTTTCACCAACAATCAAAAAGTCATTTCTTTAAGTATATTTTATTTAAATAGGCTATCTCAACAGGAAGTCTAAACTTTCATAATGTATAAAACTGAATACTGAAACTTAATGTACCGCAAAGGCATAATATAAAGATATTTATACAGTAATTAACTATTAGTTTATTAATTATGTACTACGATAATATATGCATTATTACCACATTTAATAAATACAGAGGCTGTTCACACATTTTTTAGACGATTTCGGTAAGCAGTAATAAAAAATCATTTGCTGCAAAAGAAGTAATTGCAATTGTACTATGTTTTTAAAAGTCAAAATTATCGTCTGTGGCTTGAAAGTTTTGTTTTTATTCAAAATGGCGAATTTAAGAAAGCAGTGGTTCGAAGGCTACATTTACGCTCTTTAAGAAGATAAATATGCATACTCCGTTATCCAAAAACGATGTGAGAGTCATGGTTTTGTGATATCTAAAGCGTCGATAGGTAATATCATCAACAAAAAAAGAAAAAAAAAAAAAACAAAAACGTAAAATTGGAGCCTCAAGTGGGACAAAAATTCCAAACAAGTATCCAAGGAAAAAACGGACATCTTCGACTATTGCAAAGGTACGTTGTTTAATGTTAAAAGAAAATCCCTTTAGTCAAAGGACAGTTGCAAAATCATTAAAATGCTTGGTGTCCACTGTAAACAAAATGATAAACGTTGAGTTAAATCTTAAGAAAGCGAAAAAACGCAATGTGCATCGTCTTCTTCCAAAGCATATCGCTCAACGCAGGTCACGCTGCAGAATTCTATATGAGAAACACTTTCTTAAGAAAAATGGAAAACAATTGTCACAACAGATGAAGCATGGGTGTATTTAAGTGATTGTAACAAGAAAAGAGCCAAATATTATCATGCCATACCCTTCACTGATATCCCTACTAAATCTACCGATGTGTCACCTATGGATTTTTGTGCTTTCGGACTTTTAAAAACTGCATTATCCAAACGTTGTCCCAAAACCCTAATAGGACTCTGGAAATCTGTTCGGGAGGAATGGGATAGAATATCTCTTCTGCCACTTCAAAAGGCATTATTATCCTGGAAATTGCTGTGTCGAAAGATAGTTCAGAATAAGGGGTGTCAAATATAACATTTAAAACACAAGAATTTTATGTAATTTAGTTTTGTGAATACAATATACATTGCAT